AGGCTGGATGTGCTGCCCTGACGGCTCGAAACACTTTCAAAAAAGCTGCTATTATGTCTCGAGTGATAGGATGTCCTGGGTTGAGAGTCAGCAGAACTGCACCGGGATGGGCTCCCACCTGGTGGTGATCAACAGCAGAGAAGAGCAGGTACGTGCAGGGCTGAGAGAGGGACACAGCGGCCAGGGACACAGTGCCAGGCCCTGGAGGGGACCCAGAGCCCCCCCTTTGTCCTGCTGAGGAGGAGGGATGTCCTTTCTGCATCCCCTCAGCCACCAACCCCACCCCACGGGAACTCCTGCCGTCTCCCTCTCCTTAGTCCTGCACCTCACGGACATTGCACTCTCCCTGATTCCCAGGATTTCCTCTCTAAGGACCTACAACAATTAAGAGGAGAGAATTACTACATTGGTCTGAGAGCACAGAACGTGGGCGAGTGGCAGTGGGTGGACCGAACTCCATTTAATATGACGGCAGCGTGAGTATCCCTGGATGGAGAGCGTTTGGTGTGGCTCCCAGTAGTGCAAGAAAGTAGGGAAGATGTCTGTTGGTGCATGAGAGGGAGGTGAGACAACTCCTTGTGAGAGGTCAATTGTGGAGCAGGAGGGCGTTGTGTAGGACACCAGGTTCACACGGCCCTATCCGTGCTGGTTATTGGTTATTAATTAACTACCGATGATGTGGCCATCAATGCTATAGGCACAGAAGAAGCTGCATCTCGCCAGCAGGAAGACCCCTTCAGAGATGACCAGCCTTGCCTGACCTCCATAGTGCTCGCACCATGACTATGTGCACGTATGTGCACGGGCATGGCCAGTGCTGTGATGCTGTGGAAGAGCTAGGGTGCAGGGAGAGAGCACCAGGGCTGTCCTTGCTGTGTCTTCTTCTGGAGGACAAACTTGCCCTGGAGAAAGACACATGTCTGTGCTGGGCATGAAGTGCATTGGGGGGGAGCGGTGGTGAGCAGGGCCCTGTTGTGTTGGCTGTAGGAAGAAGGCAGGTTTCCACTTAAGACTGGTGCCACTGGGATATCAGAGTGGGAAGAAGGGAACTGCTTCTGTCCATGAAGCAGCATCTGGAATTTTTCTCTCTCCCTTCCTGGCCTTCTCGAGCAGTGCTCTACAGGGTACGCTGGGGAGTAACATGTCTGTCTCAACAGGTTCTGGCGGGAATACGAACCAAGTAATATGGTTGATCAGAAGTGCGTTGTAATCCATAGGCCTTCAGGACTACACGACAACTGGAATGATGTCAAATGTGAGCGTCATTTTCGAATTTGTGAAGCTACAATAGTAACTGTGTGATGGAGATACCCTCACCCTGAGTAAAACTGAGAAATGAGCAGTGAGCTGGGAACAGCGCAGGGCTGTGTTGGGAGGGGTGGGGGGCCCTGGAGCCTGCATCTTCACTGTACTGGGTGGGACGATGTGCGGGGAAGTGATATTGCCCTGTGTCCAGCATGCCCAGTGCACATAATGGCTCAGGGAACACGTGAAGGCTCAGGGTCACCAAAGCAGGTCCTGGGCTCTTGTGTCCTCTTCTCTCTGAGTGGGTCCAGCAGCCACTGGCTGAAAAGAGGTTGAGTTCTCCAGGAAGAAGACACAAGAATGGAAGACAGATGTTCAGAGCTGCGATTTCCTTTGTCTCCTTGGGCAGAGGTGCCTGCTTTTTGTTGAGTCACAGAGAGAACGTCCTCCAATTGCACTGGTCTTGCTGAACAAATACTGAATTATTATACAAAAGAAATTACAATATTAGACCAATGAAAAAGGCTCTATGCTGTGTGTGTATCTGTCTTTCTCTTTCC